AGCTTTCCACCTAGGGAGAAACCAGTAAGGAAGAACTTACGGTCAAACTTTCAATTAAAAATACTGGTAGCGGACAATTGCAGCATCCACCATCTGCAACGTGCAGCAGGAGCCAGGTAAAATATTATTACAAACTCTGCACGGGCTATTTTTTTTTTTTTCAGAGGCAAATCTGGAAGCACAACTTCTTGCTTTGCACAAACCAGATCACGAAAACTTTACAATAGAAAGTTTATTTTTTTTGTTGATTTCCAGTCAGGTTTTTTTAAAAACAAATAATAATAATAATAATAAAAAAAAAGCTGATCACAGTTTGCTCAAACAGCCAGACTTTGACTATAATTGTAACTTTGTTCACAAAAAACATACATCACAGAAGCTGCGCTTAATAAGAGCCACTTCTAAGAGTTCGTGCAAAGAGTCATATACAAAGGCACAGCAAGGACATACTGCTTGGAATCACAGTTTTCGTCACAGATTCACTATTCACTACACGCAGGACAAATTCAGTTGATTTCATCATTTCACCTCTACAACAGCATTAATTACACAGGAATTATATAGGTAGTTTGAATAAAAATATTTTTAACAGCTTGGAGCTATACAGACATTAACACTTGACCACACATGCACAGTTAAGCAGGTTGAGTGCAACACATAACATTTGTACTAAACCGGGGGAGGGTTTCTTTCTCTCTCTCCTTTTTTTTTTTTTTAACTTCCCTTTTTTTTTCCTTTTTGTTCTTTTTTGTTCAGTTTTGTTTTGTTTTAACAGTTACTTCAAGTAACACAGCTCGCTTCATATAAATAAGTTAAAACATCTATTATTTTTTTCAAGACAAAGCCATTCAAGACAAAGAAATGTACGATAAAAGCAGATCTACTTATACACGCGAGAGAATGGTAATAAACAGGCTCATGATTAAAAGATGAATAAGGGCGACAAGAACAGGGTTTCTTCACAGAAGTAACACAAGGAAGTTTTAGAAAGTCAACTTAGTACTGACATGAGACGACGCAGGGTCAGCTAATACTGCTCAGTACTTTTAATTGATCAAACGCTTAGGGACGGAATGCCCCTCCTGCAGCTGCCATGCTCATACTTTTCAGCTTATTATCCTTTTTCCATTTCATTCTCCTGTTTTGGAACCAGATCTTTATTTGTCTCTCTGAGAGGCAAAGAGCATGTGCTATTTCAATCCTTCTTCTGCGGGTCAGGTATCTATTGAAGTGAAATTCCTTTTCGAGCTCCAAGGTCTGATAGCGGGTGTAAGCAGTCCGAGCTCTTTTCCCTTCTGGTCCCCCTATGTTGTCTGGAAGAGAAAAGTACATGATTTAGATTCTCAGCAGCCACTCGGAGCCTTCGTGTCTCATTGCAGCTACCAGCGACCAGGACCGTTATTCTCAGTCCTGCTTGGTTTTGTTTCTGCTTTGGATAAACGCTCAACAAGTTTCCCCCTCCAGCCCCTCTAAGGAAAGGCTTGGGGGAGGGGGATTTGGTAGTCTCGGTAAGTTTTTGCTTGGATTTGTGGTTCGATTTTTTAAAATTGAATTTTTTTCCTTCCCCCTCCCCCCCGAAGTTATTCCCCCACGCCCTCCCCAGATAAGCTGCTTTGGAAGATGTCTCTGCTGCTAGCTGGGTTTTCAGAGCTGGGAGAGCAAAGCTTTCAGCCCTTTCCCACGGCTGAGCTGGGGAAGGCTCTGGGAGGCAGCGAACTCCCGGCCGCTCTCCCAGCAGCGAGGGCAGGGCAGGTACCCGGGGCTGAAAGTTGCCTCACTTCCCCGCGCCCCTCAAGCTCTATCCCCCGAGTTTGGGGCGACTCGCCCTTCCCCCAGCCCCCCCGGCTTCCCAGCATTGAAAACTGCCCTTCTCGCCCTCTCCTATTCTCTATTTAATATGTCTCAGCAAAATAAATGGGGTCAGCCGCGCTGTTCCCTCTGGAAGATCCCCCATCCAGAGGAGAGCCGGGAGCAGCCTCTGCTCCCGATCCCCCTTCGGCAAGGCGCCTTCTGCTCCCCCGCCGGCGCTGGGAGCCAGACGGGCTGTGGGTTTGGGGCCGGGAGGTTTTTTTCCTTTCGGGGGGACTCGCCCAGAGAAGGGAGCGTGCTTCCCTGCGAGCAGAGTTGTGGCGTGTGCGGAGACTGCCCGCTCTCACGCCCTCCTCTCCCTCTCTCCCCGACCTTGCTCGGCGCAGCCACCCGGTTTACATTAAATCCTCCTTTTCCTCCAGAGAAATAAAGAAAGAACAGGGTATTTGCTTTACCATGACTTATGTGCAGTTTTCGCATCCAAGGGTAGATCTGGGGCTGTGAAGGCTGGGCTGTGCTTTGGTCGGTCGGGGCACTTGCCTGCTCGCTGCTTGCTGGAGTGTCTTCTTCAGTCCCAGACGAGGTGCCAACCCCGTCTCTGCTGATGTGCGTGTTGCTGCTGGAATTGGACGAAGTGCTGGTGGAGTTGGCGAGGGAGTTTTTCACCCCGTGGTGACTCTCGCTGACAGGCGAACCGGCCACGGCGGTGCAGGGCAGAGGGTCAGGGGGAGGCGAGTGAGAAGACGTCGCGGGCTGGTTGTACCTGGGCTCTGTCGAGGCAGAGGTGGTGTTGGCCGGGTAACTGCGGGGTCTCTCATTGGCACCAAAGTGGGTGGAAGCAGAGCGCCCGACGCTGAGGTCCATGCCATTGTAGCCGTATCCGTACCTGCCGGAGTGCATGCTGGCGGAGTCCCTGTATTGCTCGCTCACCGAGCTGTGATCTCCATAATTATGTAACTGGTAGTCCGGGCCATTTGGATAGCGACCGCAAAATGAGTTTACAAAATAAGAGCTCATTTGTTTTTTGATATGTGTGCTTGATTTGTGGCTCTTGGTCGTTTTGTGCGTCTATAGCACCCTTGCACAATTTATGATGAATTATGGAAATGACTGGGACATGTACTTGGTTCCCTCCTACGTAGGCACCCAAATATGGGGTACGGCTTCACATCACGTGCTTTTGTTGTCCAGTCGTAAATCCTGCCTGATGACCTCTAGAGGTAAACTCGTGCACTGGTGGGGGAGCTGGGAGGGCGGCGGCCGGCCCGGGGCGCGGGCCGCCCGTGCGCGCCGCCGCCGCCGCGCCCGCCGTCCGCCGCCTCCAGCGCCACCGCTGGCGGCGCGGGGGATGGCGGCGGCTCCGCGGGGTCGGCCCGGGGTGACGGCCCCGACCGGCGGCGCGGAGCAGAGCGGAGAGGCGCGGAGCGGAGCGGAGCGGGCCGCGCCCCCCACGGCACCCGGCGCGCCGCCGCCACCGGCGGCATCGGCAACCGGCGGCGAAGGCCGCGGGGCCGGCGGGAATTGCTCCTCCGACCCGCCCGCCGGAGAGCTCGGAGTGGAGAGAGCTTTGTGCTTGCCTTCTCCTCCGTGCGAGGCTTATTTACACCAGTTCACAAAGCCTATAGGATCCGTCCTCGGGAGCTGACAACGCTTATGTCTCTTCTACATATATAGGTATATATATAATTTCCCCTCCCCACTTACTCCCGTGCCGGAGCTTTAGAGAGGCAGCCGGGTCCTGCCGATGTGAAATGGCAGGTACCCATGAAAGATAAATATCGTGCAGCGTTTTTCCAGCTAGGGAGTAAAATTCCAAGCGACTTTACGGCCGCTGTTATTTTATCGCCTCTCGAAAGGAAAATAACTCTCTAAATGCGGCGGTAGCCATTGTGCATTGGTGTTCTTCAGGTCTGGCTTTTTATATATTTAGAGCAGTAGCCCAAACTGTGCTGCCTTCCAAACAAAAGAGCCTCGATGACTATACAAGTGCATTTGGACACAGTTTCACACGCATACTCATGCACACGCAATATAATATAGAGAGATATAACGTATATATTAATCAATATTTTCGCTGAGCTTATTTTACTTTTACAGAAGTGGAAGCATTTTATGGCAGGTATTTTTCTACAGAGTATCAATTTATTTTTTCCAGTGCTAAGAAAAGCGAATGTGCATTAAAATACCACAGAAGCGGAGAAAAATATCCTCCGAGTTAATAAGACTTTTTCTTTAAATAAATAAGAAAGAAAAAAAAAAGAAAGAAAGAGAGAAAGAGAAAAAGAAAGAAAGAAAGAAAGAGAGAAAGAAAGAAAGAAAGAGAGAAAGAAAGAAAGAAAGAAAGAAAGAAAGAAAGAAAGAAAGAAAGAAAGAAAGAAAGAAAGAAGGAAAGATTTTTAAAACAAGGAAAAACAGATGGATCTAAGCCCACAAAGCCCCAAGAAATGTAGTCCATAATTCAAAGCCCCTTCAGTGTAGAGCTGAGCTCACTGAAACCTCAATGTAAGCTCAACGGGAACCACAGAAATTTTCCCACTTCAAAACCTCTTTCCTCGCTTCCCCTGTAGTTTAACGCCGAGTTTTTGCTTTAATACTAGTAGTGCAGATTAAGCAGTTTAGGGGCATTTTAAAAAAATCTCCCTGCAGTTCATTTTCACTTCAAGTTTATATACAGGGATTTATACAACGATTTTTTTAAAAGGATTTTTCTTCCTTTCGCTATTTAAATATCTTATACATAACTAAAACTTTTTCCCCCCCTGCAGATCATAAACTCCCAAACACAGCATAACGAGATGGTCAGACTTAGCGGGAGCTAGCAAAACCATAAACCTGATATTTTCTAAAAGTCTTTCTACAGTAAGAACATTTATAATTAAAAAAAAAAAATTCCCTTATCTTTTCTCACACAAGCACACCGGGGGCACTCACCCACACATAGATGCTCACCTGAAATATTTAAAATTCTGGGCCAATTCTCTAATAGTTTAGGCAACGCCATATGCTTTGGAAAGGTGATTATATACACACATGCCTGTAGCTCAAAAGCTAGGACTTCCACATATATTAAAGTAAGTCACAGATGATTGCAAATGTACATCTTTTAAACAAGCCTTTTGGGGATTAATAGACTGTGACAAACCTATAGGATTTCAGTAGCAGAAGGAACACAAGGTAAATAATAATAGTAGTAAGTGCTAAGGAAAGGCCTGGTAGCGTTTATTAAAAGTGGTTCTACTCCCCTGACTTTTCCTCTGTTTCTTCGCTGCTTGGCTGTGTGGAACTTATGAATTTGTTTTCCTTTTTCCATTTCATCCGCCTGTTTTGAAACCATATTTTAATCTGGCGTTCAGTAAGGCAGAGAGCGTTTGCAATCTCAATACGTCGTCTTCGGGTTAAGTATCTGTTAAAATGAAATTCCTTCTCTAACTCTAGCGTTTGGTATCTGGTGTAAGTTTGCCTCCCTCGTCTCCCATGTGTTCCATATACTGTACCTGTAGAAGTAAAGACAAAACGATCGCATTGGACAGGGCCCAGTGATTTCAGACCAGAAAGAACGATTAGTATATTCTGCCTCCTTTTGGAGGCACAATGACGGGGAGGGGGGGGAAGCTGCTCTGGTTTCCTGGAGGGTTTTTTTTTCCCCCCTCTTTTCTTTTTCTCCTGACTGCCTAGCTGTAAATGCGGATGTGCAGCGTGCTTACGGTAGTGGGGTAAGCGGAATACAAAGAGGCTTTAAGGTAGACCTAGGGGAAGGGCAGTAGGTAGCACCCGTGTGAATCACTGAGCAGCGTCTGCTCCCTGCGCGTTGGCAGCCTGTGCGCGCACACACACACAGACTCACGCACACGTGTGCTACCCGGGAAGCCTCATGTGTCTGCGCCTATGTGTGTGCACGCACATGCGGGTGTGTTGAAACAAACACGCAGCCATTGCCACGGCTGTGACTGCAGAGGGTCTCTAATTTAACTATGATTATAGACATCAGCTAAAGATCATAGAAGAGCATTTTGCCATTTGCTCTAGAATTTATTGCTCTCGAATGCAAAGCAGCATCAGAATGGTCTTGCTAAAAGTTTAACTTTCCAAAAAAGAAGAAATGCGATCTACCCTTCAGCAAACGTAAACTCGGGAGGATGGGAGAAGAGGGGAGTCATTAGCAAACGCTGGAAGTAAACGTCTTAATATGGGATTATAAAAAATACGTGCCACTCCAGTACAACCCTCCCAACCCACTCCCAGCCCCCAGCACCACTCCTGTACAGAATAGTTCAATTATGTGAAGTTTACTCTTAAATTCAGAAAAAAATTCGCAATGCCATGGAAGTGCGCTCACGGCCTCAGAAACGTGCTCTCAATATCCAATACTCACAGGCTAATGAGCTGGGGGAGGGGGGCGAGGAGGAATGTGCCACAAATGCATTGGATCCTCAGTACAGAGGGCATATTCCTTGCATTTCTCTCTGACAATGAAGCAGCAGAGCAGAGGCTTTGGGGTGGTTTTAAGAGAGTGGTAAAACTGCTCTGCTCCTTTTTATCTCTTTTTTTTTTTACCCTACTTCTAAGGATTCCCCAGTAACTTTCTCCAGTGAGCCTACAAACTGGGATCTCAGCCACCGTTCCGAGGGTGCCAACGTGCCAGGTCTGAAATAACCTGGGAAGGTTTCATGTTACATGTTGCCCTGCAGGAACCATGTTTCTCCAACAGTCTGGACTTTATCTAAGAACAAACAAACAAAATAGGAAAAAAAAAAAAAAAGAAAAGAAAAGAAAAGAAAAGAAAAGAAACTTTTCCTTTCCCTCCCTCCTGCCCCCCCTCCCGCCCTTGATTGCATCGAGATGTCTTACCAGCGCAGGAGTTCATCCGCTGCATCCAGGGGTAAACAGGGCTCGTGTACTTCCGGTCGGTACCTTCGTCATTTATAATTTTGGCTTGGCCGCCGCTGGATTTGTACTGTTGATCGGGAGAAAAGTGCAGGTAGTCCCCGGGCCCTCTCTGTTTGCCACTGCCGGAGGGAGAGGCGCTACTAATGTCCTTGTCCGAATAAAAACAAGAGGCTCCGTACTCATAGGAAGCCCGATTGCAAGCAATGACGGTGTTGGACTGTTGGTAGAAACAGGGTGAGGTGTAAGTCTTGTCCTGCAGGCTGCTTGCCCCGTACGAAGCCGGAAAATGCCTGAGAGCATCATAGCCCGCCGGGTACAGGGGGATCTGGCCGAGGAAGGAGTCCTGGCCCCCGGGCAGGCTCCCCGGGAAAGTGGGATTCACGAAATAGGAACTCATTTGCTCTCCCCCTCTCTCGGACCGTGATTTGTTGTGTATTAGTACATCTGGCGATAACTATTAGGAGTCATCGAAGTGGTTTGTTTCTGGATGGCCGAGCGCCAAAAGCGACAGCAGAAAATAGGAGCAGCTGACGGCGGGGCGGCCAATGGGAGCGCGCGCGGCGCCCGCTCCCCCGGGGCCGCCGCCACCGCGCCGCCAACTTACCGGCAGCCCCGGCCCCGCCGCCCGCCCGCGCCGCCCCGCACCGCACCGCGCCGTGCCGCGGCCACCGGCCGCGCCCCCGGGGCGGCGCGCCGCCCCTCCGCGGAAAAATAATTCAGTAATAATAACAACAATAATAGCGATAATTCCCGGCAGCGCGGGCAGTGTGACAGCGGCTGATGGGGGACCCACCCGCGGCCGCTGGAGGTGTGTGTAGGGAGTCTTCGCCCTTAAAAGTTGGAGGGCCCACGACGAGGCAGCCGCAGCCCCGCAGGCAGGGTGGGCGAGCCGCCCGCGGGTCTCCGGCGGAGGGAAGGAGGAGGGAGAGAAGGAAGGAGACGGCGGTGGAGGATGCTGCGGAGGGAAACTTTGGAGTGGAGGGAGCACGTGAAAGGGGGAGCGGAGCGCCACGCAGCGGGGGGGGTGGAGGGGGGCGGCCTCTCTCCAGTTTACCATCGCGATGCCACAACCACATCCAAGAATTTTTAGGAGATTTTAAAACGTGTTTATTTATCCATTCAGTCGAAAACTGCCCCTCCGCTGAGGCTTCCCTTCGCAGCTCAGGGAGCCTGCCCCAGTGTCGAATCCAGTTTTTGTGAGAGAGGCTAACCCGTCCCGCATGGAAGAGGTCTCGTATTTTAATGAACTCCACCATAATTAACGCGGAGGTCGTGGCGGTGGCCTTTTGGGGAGGGGGATTTTTGATTTGCACCAAGTGCCCGAGGAGGCCTCGAGAAGAGCTCGGCAGTCTCCCAGCGCCGCCCAGCAGCCCAGCTAAAGTTCTGCGTGTCTCTTCTTCCCAAGTCTACCCCTGCTTCAGCCAGAGCTGAGCCGAGGGAATCAAACACTCAAAATAAAAAATGAGCCAGTAGGACTATTCCTAATTAATATAGCCCTACTAATGAATCAGCAGAAGCCAATCGGTTTGGTTGTCGCTCCGAATAATTTGATTAAAAGCGAATGTGTACCTTTAAGAGGAGAAAAACAATACACGAAACAAACATTTCCACCTTCATTTTTCAATATGGCAGTTACCCCATAGCGGAAATATAATTCTTGGCCCAGGGCTCGGACAGTAACAGTGCTGATGAAATTCGCTGATGCGCATTTAATTCAGCCATAACCGCGCAGTTCCTGGAGATAACATGAGGTTGTTCATTCCAAGCTGTGTTTACTCATAATCCGTGCCCATTACAACAGATTGAAAAGCCTAATTTTAAACGCGCTCTGTCACGGAAAGTGACATTCGTACGAGCCCCGTTTCCTAAAGCAGCTTTCAAAAGAGTTTTGTTTTTGTTGGGAGACTATTTGTCTCATTTCCGGGGGCAGATTACGATACCTATAAAACAGTAGTGAGCTAAAACATTGCTCCACAATCGTTTGTATTGTTTGCAGTCTCAGCTGGACTTTCACATTCAGATGTTGATTGCCTCCAATTTTTTTTAAACTTCCTTAACCTCTTGAGCCCAGCCAATCCATAAACACACCTGGTAGAATTACAGCTCGCTAGCTGCATGCTTTGAGAGGTCATTTCAGAAACATGTATTTCCTGAAAAACAGATTTTTCCAGAGGAAAAAAAAAGGTTTCTTACTCAGTGAGAATAGAGTTTAAAAAGGAGGAAACACCAGCCATCAAGCACACACAACACGGCAAATACGAAGAGGTTTTTAAAAGGGCAGATTTTCTCCAACTCAGGTCAGAACGAAAAAGCACCATGAAAAAAGAACGCTCAGGACAACCAAAACCCACTGGCCTTACTTCTAAAAAGTTGTGGCCAGACGGTTTTCTATTTAAATCCAGCATACAGACCAAAACAGAATTTAAAATAAAAAAATCGCTCCAGGCTTAGTTGTATTTACATTTTATAGCATCGGTTACAGACTGTTTCCCCCCCTCTGTTTCTTTTTGTTTCTTTCCCGTTTTTCAAGTTATTGCTTGCGTCCAAACCAAGTTGGGAAAGCCCCACTGCAGGCAGTGAAAATGTTTCTCCGTTGATCCCATAATATGAAAATGCATGAAATCTGCACGTTTGCCTGACTGAGTCGTGTTAGAGTAGTTACAGTGACAGCTAAACCGTCTGCACTGCAATCTCCGCTTCAGTCACATTCAAGCGTCCTTTCCGCTCCTCCCCCTACCCCCAGAAAACCCCGAATTACAATAATCTGCTACCCCCCAGGTCTGCCGAGGAAATGTCCTGCCCAGACACATTTCGCAGCGATTTCCCTTCACCGTTCCCGCCCGCATTCTAGAAAGCAGAAAGCAAGTCAGCCGCTGCATTTTGACAACGCAACAAAGTCACACTTCGCGACATCCGTGTATTTCATCCCCCTTTTATTTGTTTTCGTAATTCCCCGCACCCCCATCACCTTCTTCACAAAACACTTCGCCTTCCTCCTCCCGCCGAAAACCTGGCCGCGACCCCAGCCACTCTTGGATTACAGGTGCGGGGGTAGTTACCCTCTTAAGCTTAAAAGCCTCTTTCTCCTCGTATATAAAACCACTTTCAGATCATTCTCGTGCTCGCCAGCGTCATCAAAACCAACCTTTAACTAATAGCTCCTAATCCAAACAGTTTGGGCAAGGCGGACCGTTGTTTAGAGTGGCGGGGTACAAGGAGCCTGGCCGGGGGGACGCGGGCGGGTCCTCCCCAGCCGGCTCCCACCGTGATAACTTGCAGTTGACACACACCGAGGTACAAGCGGAGGGTGAGTGGGCAGAGCCGGTCCTGCCAGAATATCTTGCCCGGGGGCCAGCTCCGATGCTCCCGTACAAAAAGGTAGGCCCAGGGGGTTTTTTTCTTTTTTTTTTTTTTTTTTTTTTCCCCTTGGTCTTTTATCTGGGCTCCCCCGAGCAGCGCAGGCTGCCAGCGCTGCCCTTCCCAGGGGCTGCGGGGGCCGCTCCGCTCCGCGCCCGCCTCCGCCATCCCGCCACGCCGTGGCAGCACTGAGCACCCGCGGCCCCGCAATAAATAATCCGGCGCTCACTGCAGCTCCAGTCCGGCGGATACCGCAATGCAATGCAAATGCAGTGCTTTATCAGACCGGCGGCACAGGCAGAGCCGGGGCCGTCGCTTAAAGGCCTCCGAGCTTCTCCTTCGCCGTAAGGAGAACGGGCGGAGCCGGGCGGCAGCGGCGGGGGGTCCCGGGGCGCGTCCCCGGGTCCCCGCTTCCCCCCGCCGGCACACACCGCGGGGCACCGGCCCGCCGCCTGCCGCTCCCCCGCCCCAGCGCCGCACCGTAACAGTCACAACAAGGAGAGGAAGGGGGGGGAAGCTCCGTCTCCGGCGCTGAAATGGGTTTAGCTGCCGCGAAGCCCGCTCCGCGCAGCCGAGGCGCGCAAGCCGCCCGCGCCGGGAAGCGCCGGGAAGGGACCCACGGCGGGCCACGAAATTTATGCAGGCAGCGCTTGATCTGATAAAGAAAATCTAAGACACAATCGCGCTGTTTCCTCCCGTCTAGAAATAACCTTCCTCCTGGACATGGCAGAGAAGCCAGGAGACATTGTGTTTACTGATTTGGTTGTTTTTGTTTTTGGTTTTTTTTTCTGAAATAGTAAAAATTAAATAATATCTAAAGTTCATCTACCGCAAATGAAATTTAAGTTAATAATTTAATGCTGCGAATTAATTAAAATGTTTGGGGATATTAATATTTTTTTTCCTCCTGATAGGAAAAAACCCCCTTCATTGATGCTGTAAACTGAATTATTGCAAAATAACCTGAACGTCACAACAAACCTCCTGGCTAATGCAAACAGAAATCAACTTCATGAAAAAAAATCCACAGCTTCCTTACTAAATCATATAAAATAGACATTTTATTAAGGAATATTTTTGCATGCACTGGTTAAGTCAAAATCAACTGAGCTGCAGCCACCTCTATTTTTGGCCGGTAACATTTCCATTTGGTTTAATTACACATGTCTAATATTTAAACGTATTAAACCATTTTCCCCTGCTTACAGTAGTGTCATATACATTTCTCACCTTTTAGGTTCTGGCTCACAGGAGCCCCTGCGACTTTGACAGCTGTCGCTTTGGCTGCACAGGAGACGAATCGCCCTCCTTTTGGTGCCAGAAGAAGCAGGAAATTAGCCAGGTTGCAAGTTGAAAATCTGCCACGCCAGTGCTTTGAATCCAATATGCCACACCTTCCAGCGGGGGAACTGGAAATTGCCATCCCGGATCTGTGTTCTAGGCGGCTGCTTATGCCGAACCTCCGCACACTTTGTTCACTATTGCCTTACAAAGAACAAATGAAATGGGGATTGAAAGCCAGAGAGATCCGAAGCAGGACAGAGCTCAGCAAAAGAATGCGGCTCTATTCTCGCAAGGGAAATTATAAAAAAGTTCATGTTCACGGTTACCATCCACATGACCGACAACGACCAATGGAAAAACCGAACAACTCATAAAGTTGTATTGCAAAGTTGTAAATTTTCATAAACAACAACGGATTTATGGCCTTTTCCTCATCACTAAGAAGAGGCAGGTCTTAGAGAGGCGCCATCTTACCGAAGAGGCAGCCCTAGAGTTTTTTAAAAGACCTGGACTTTGTACTAATTTTATTAAAATTACAATTACTACATTGACCAGGAACGGAGTGTAGTAGAAAAAAGGGAACTTCAGGGCAAATGATGCTCTGTTTCTACCTGTATTTATCCAGCCGAATAAAGGGGGTTTTCGGGCTAGATTTTTAATTTTTTAATTTTTTTTAATATTGAAAATATTAGATCTCATTGACATTACGTGATATCTAAAGCAGGGGGATTTTCCCCCATTTTCTTGCCACCGTGATGCCCTCCGTCCCCCGAAAGCCGCACGAACAAACAACACACATACCCGACCAGATCATTTACACTTGGAAGTTTTGCATTGCACTTTCTGTTCATTACAAAATA